AAAATTTTTTGCTTTCCGAAAATATTGTCCATATTCATAAAAACAAATTAAAACAAATAAAAGCATTTGAAACTAAATAATATATTTGTTTTATTGAGTTTTGTATGTTACAATTCACAGCTGATTTTCAAGGCACGTTGGCCAAAAAAAAAAAAAAAACATGATTTGCATTCTTCAAAAGCCTTGTGCTTTTTTGTAATCACTAAAACCGATGGTCTGAATTTCTAGAGTTTTTCATAAAATTAGTTATGGGGTGTTAATAAATATAAAAAAAAATATTTCTGCCATGACTTTAATAAAAAAAAAAACATATTTATAATAATTTCGATCATCTGTGAATAGTTTCTGAAAGTTTCATTAACATCTGACAATTATTTTATTTTTGCAAGATTTTCCAAATTAATGTGTGTAAATACAAAAACGCGCTAAAAATTATCTATGTTATTTACTACCCCTTGTTGCGACAAAGAGAAACAAGGTTTTTTAAATCAAAATTTAGAATATTCTAAAAGATGGAAAAATTTTAAAAAATAATTAAAAAAAATTTAGTCTATCCTCTTCATAAAAACATAAGCATTTTGACGATAAAATTTTGTTTTCATAAACTTTGGCGTCTTTTTTCATCAGACTATGCTCTATGTTTTTAGCGATTCCGTGGAGTGACTTAGGTTAAAAAACCCAGGTTGTTTATGTGTGTGTGTGTGTGTTCCTTTATATATGGGATCGGATTTCTTACTTTTTTTTTCAGCCGATAAAACAAACATCCACTTTTTTTTTTCGGCAGGTAGTATTTCTTATTGTCTTGCACACTTTTTTTCTTTATTTACATTCAGAATGCTTTAAAAATTCCATTTACAAGACAATTGTTTATAATAAAATTCTATTCAAAAATCGATAGACTCATAACGATTGTAAACAATGTTTTTGTTTGAATTTGGGTTTGACCAATTCGTAAAAAAAAAAAAAAAAAAAAATAATAATTAAGACATGCGTGTCCGTCAACCTTAAACAATAATCTTTGTCAATTTTATTTTTCAGTCTTTATGATAGTCGATACTTGATCTATCTCTTACTGTTACATCCCCGGGCAACGCCGGACTCTACTGCTAGTATATATATAACTCGATGCATTCATATCAGAGAGTGCCGTCAAGTTATCATCTCATTTTTAAAAATTTAATGGGATGTTTTCTTATTTAAATCGGTTTTACAATTGGTTGAAGATTTTTCAACATACTTTTGCAATTGTGTATATGAGTGTGTTTTTGTAAATTGGATGAACATTTATTCTACATATGAGAGAATTCCTGTCAGGCATGTACGCGCATATGCAAATAGATTAATTCATGTGTGTGTACATGTTTGCGTGTGCATTAGTGCCTGTGCAGAGCTCTAATTATTTGTAATATTTTTATACATCATCATCAACATTATCATCATAATATTCATCATCATCAGTCCCATGACAGGGTGAAATTGTACACCCAGTGTACAAATAGGCACCTGATCAATTCTCTCCACATAGTTGGGTTGACAGCAATAGCGTTATTTTTGCATAGCATGTCATCTGTCAGTAGACCAGGCTAAGGCCATATTTCTCCGGGTCGAATCACAGCAGACGTCCTCCAACTTGAAGGCTTGCCTTGGTCAGACACGTGGCTGTTGATTTCATTTGGGATACACTCAACCCTAGCCGTTGATTTCCCACTAGGAAGCCTTTTCCCAGTGATGAATTGTCATCGCGGAACTGGCTTCATAGATAGCTATGGGTTCAGTTTACCATATTAAACTGTATGGCCGTTGACCCTACAAAAATGTTCATCCATTCTTTGAGATGTCATGATTTTAATCCCGCTAGGTTTTTAGCAATGATCCTCACCAGAAAAGTCTGATGGAAGACCCGAGAAGGCAGTAGGTAGTAATGTGTTACATGTTACCAGTAGCATAAAAGTAATAAAAATGCTATCAGGTCATCCCATAAGTTCTCTCCGAATTTTAACTTTTTGTTAAAATGAACGAAATTTAAAGAGTATTTTATAATGTCTAATGGAGCTGAACATTATTTTTATGTTTAGATGCATTTAAACTGATCAAATTTTATTTCAGAGAACAACAAAATTAAATTTTGCTTGATTAAAACCCTGCTAACATGGAAGTACCCAAGAATCATTTGAGGCACATAATGCTTTATGAGTTCCAGAAAGGAAACTCAGCAGCCGAAGCGGCTAGAAACATTCACTCAGTTTATGAAGAGGAATGTGTGAATGAAAGAACTTGCAGAAGATGGTTTGCAAAATTCTGAGGTGGAGATTTCGCCCTTGAAGATGAAGATCGAACCGGACGTCCAGTTGAGTTTGATGAAAAGCTTCTTGAAGCAGCCCTTGAAGAAAATCCTGCTTTATCAGTTGAGGAATTGGCAGTGGTTCTCAGTTCAAACTATATAACTGTTCATCGTCATCTTCAACAACTTGGAAAAGTTCCTAAACTTTGAAAATGGGTGCCTCATGAATTGTCTGAAAACAACCTCAAATCTCGTGTTGACATCTGCTCTTCTCTCCATTTTCGCCAACTTGTTTCACCTTTTTTGGAGAGACTTATGACTGGCGACG